TCCAAGCTTCAAGTCCACACAGCACACCAAGCAGAAGAAAGTACTTTTCTTTCCAGGCATTTTAATAAAGGCTATGTGGCCATGTCTCAGCTGACTGGGGTTAGGCTGATGATGGGCTGTGCTGATTGGAACCTATGAACCTATCCCTGGGGCTCTGGATTGGATCAACTTCTCTGGATGTATTTCACCTGTTTATAGTACTCATTTCCTTTTTATTATATCCTGTCACTCCAGGCCAGGCTTTATCTTATCATGCCTGGTTACGCGAGAGTTTCTCACCTAAACTCAGAAATGTCTCTTCTTCATTCAGTCTATATTCACTTACTTAGGTGTTGTTTGCACTTCTGTTCTATGTTATCCCCTTTTCATCTTTATTCTTCTTCTTGACATGTCCTAAGATTCTATTTATGTTCCACTATTCTTTCCAGTACAGATTAGACCTTCTCTCCCTTACTGGCAGGATTACTCCTCAATCTCCTTTTTCCTCAGCAAGTATTCCTCAGCCACCTGCTAATTCCACCTTAGTACTCCCAAAACACACTCATCCACCTCTATTCACCCATCAAGATATAAAATCTCATGCCAGAAGACAGACAAATGGCACCAAGAGTAGACCTTCCATATTATAGACTTAAATGTGAACTGTGTTTATGCTTCAAAACTGGCTATGTTATGTTTCTTCCACTTTATTACCTTTGCACCTAAAACTTGACCAGTATTGGCTCAACATCTCCTTTCAACAAGTATGCAAATCAACAAAAACCCAGATGTTTGAATTTTGAATTCTGGAGCTTGAATGAAAACCACAAATCTGACAGTGAAACCTAGTCAATAAGAATAGAATGTAATGTGAGAGACTCTTGAATGCTGAGAACAAACTGAGGACTGATGGGTGTGGGGGGCAGGGGGGAGATGGGCATGGAGGAGGGCACTTGTGGGGATGAGCACTGGGTATTATATGGAAACCAACTTGACAATAAACTATTTGTAAAAAAAAAAAAAAAAAAAAAAAGAATAGAATGTAATGTAGGGTGTTTAAATTATCTTTGTATTCCAATAGCCCTCAGGAGTTGAGATGTTCATCTGATTCTCAAGATTGGAACTATCCCTCTTAGGGTCTTTGACTCCTCCAGGACTTGGTGATCAGACATTTTTCAAAACTTATCATTATTATTATTACATAGGAAATGCTCCATCCACATACTTTTCTGATTTTGGCTCACTTCAGTCAGTGAATTCTTCCCAAGAACACTTTCCCAAATCATTCCAAAAGCAGTTCTCTGAAAAATCTATTTTAGAGACATCGTTAGAAATGATAGAAGTCAAGGAACCTGTCAGAAAAAACAGATGGTTACATTCTGTGACAAACAAATGTTTTAAAAACTTCTTCTATTCAAAGCATGAACAGAAACTGGCCCAAACCCTAGTTGTTGCCGGGACCTCTGTCAGTTGGTTCTTTGCTAACACTGATATAAAAGATTTTGGTGTATTGTAAAAAAAATATTTATTAATCCATTAAGATACAATGTTGTCAAACAGGGACTTGAATGGATGGATGAGTGGAGAGACAGTTGGATGGACATGGCATAAAGCAAATAACCTAAAATATTAATGGTAGGATCTAGGTGGTGTATTTATGGATGCTCACTGTCTGATTCTTTCAACTTTTCCATATGTTCGAAATGTTTAAAAATGTAATGTTGGAGAAAAAACAGGATGCTCACCAATGAGATGATTCAGGTCAGCACATTAGTATATAGACATACCATAGAAAGATGCCTATAAGCAATGGGGAGAAATCTATATAAACACAGGCTTTATGGGGTAAGGTTGGCAGTCATTGGACGGAGGAGGAGAGAAGTTAACATCAGATAGTCTCTGTGAGAGACTATCAGGAGGCAGACAATAGAAACAGCCAGTGCAGGATAAATTCTATTCAATACCATTTCTTTTCCTACTATTAAATGCCCCTTTTCTGAATGTTCTGGCAAAAGGGAAGAGAAAGCCCTGACTCCTGTGTCAAGTGCTTTGCCTAAACTATCTCCTTTACTTTTTATAGCATTCATGAAACCACATTTTATAGTGTTTGTTTCCTTTTTGCCTACACAGCATCTGTTACTCCATTTGCAGGTAAAAGCACGCCAGTTTTCCTTGGGAGATGAACTCTCCATCACTGAATGTAGACTTGATGACCTATCCTACTGAATTAAAGGTGTGGAAAGTCAATAGCTAAAACATGGAAAGAGCCTAAGTGTCCATCAACAGATGAATGGATCAAGAAGATGTGGTTTATCTATACCATGGAATACTACATGGCAATGAGAAACAATGAAATCTGGCCACGTGTAGCAACATGGATGGGCCTTGAGGGTGTTATGCTGAGCGAAGTAAGTCAGGCAGAGAAGGACAAATATCATATGTTTGCACGTATAGGAGGATTAGGAGGAACTTGACGGAGGACCAAGGGGGAGAAGAAGGGCGGAAATGGTGGGGGAAAGGGAGAGAGGCAAACCATGAGAGACTCTTGAATGCTGACAAAAACTGAGGACTGATGGATGTGGGGGGGAGGGGGGGATGGGCATGGAGGAGGGCACTTGTGGGGATGAGCACTGAGTGTTATGTGGAAACTAATTTGACAATAAACTATTTGTAAAAAATAAAATAAAATAAAATAAAGGTGTGGAAAGTAACATGAGCAAGGCCAGGTAAACACCTTCTCCAGGAAATCTGAGTCTTGAGCAGTCAGCCATGAGGGGAGATGGTTGGAATGGACAACATGGAAGCCTTGAAGAATGCATTCCTTAATTGTTACTACCTTCCCAACTCCCTGGAATCCTGTCATTTGGATTGGCTAGTGTTGCTTCTGTTGCTTGCACACAAAGAACTCTAACTAGCAGAGGCAATGTAGTTCCCATTTCAGAAATAAGGAAACCTAAGCTCAGAAGGATTAAGTCTTTTGGCTCAGGTCACTATTTGATATTGATATGGGTCACCTATATTCAAAACCTGTCTTCTATACTTATCCTACCATGGTTTCTCAAATGCTGCAGACTGGATTCATATCTTGTCTAGCTAGGTAAGTTTGGGAAAGCTGTGTACCAATTTCTAAATGCCAATTTCCTCATCTCTAAAATGGGATAGCAATAGTCATTCATACCATAGAGTTGTGGTAAGGATAAAATAAGCTGATTTGTGTGAGATGTTTGGGCACAGTGCCTGGAGCAAAATAAGTGCTTAATAAATGTTAGTTGCTCTGATGATGATGGTATCAGTGTGGGTTCTAGCAAGAAAAAGGGGATAGTTGAAGGGATTAATAAAGGGACTACTTTCCAGCCAGTAAAGGCAAGGTTAAAAAAACCCAGAAAGGGTTAGGTGAAGGACCCCCAGGAGCCCCTAGAAACAACAGCAAGCTGTGGACAACGGCTGCCCAGCATGGACTGGGATCTCTGACTACATTTCTAAAACAGTGGCTGCGGCAGACGTAGTCTTCTGTAGCCCTGCAAGGAGGGAGGCAGGAAAGTAAACACCCTGCTCTTCCCCTCCCAGCTCACCCTCTAATCTCCTGCCAGTGCCTTAAATTGGCCAAACCGAGCCAGAAGCCAGAGGACAGGGAAGCCTGGTTGATGCTCTCTATAAAGGTCAGCTTCTCAGGACACAAGGCCAAGTGGAGAAAAGAGGAGACACACTTTCACATAGAGACACACTTTCACCTCAAGACACATTTCACCTCAGCATTCTTTGAGTAAAAAAAATAACTTACATCCCCAATACAGAGGACTCACAGCTACCATTCATTGTAGGGAATATGAATTCAGTCAAAATCCCACCTAAACCTCAGATGTCAGCCACTCCAGTGGCCTTTTACATAAGGTCGCAGAGAAATAGAGGGAAAAACCTAAAACATAGTTGCACAGTCCTGTTTCTGAGGCTAACGTGAGAACTAAGTTGAGAGGCATGGCTACCTTCACTACCACCAACTCTACATTCTCCAACCCCTCGACTAGATGGGGGTGCTTACATGCAAGAAAGTTTTAAGACTCTTTGGGGGTTCAGAGTTATTAGTCTTGTCTGCATCTGCCCAAATTCTCCCAGCCCATGTCTCAAAGATAGGCATGGGTTTTGTTTTGTTTTGTTTTTATTTTTTATTTATTTTTGAAGGAAAGAGTGAGTACAAGCAGAGGAGGGGCAAAGAGAGAGGAAGATACAGAATTTGAAGTGGACCCAGGCTCTGAGCTGTCGGCACAGAGCCTGATGCAAGACTCGAACTCACGAACAGTGAGATCATGACCTGAGCTGAAGTCGGACACTTAACCGACTGAGCCACCCAGGCGCTCCTAGGCATTGTTTTTAAAGCTGCCAGAGAGGTTTTCTAACTTTCTACTTATGTCCTCACTGTATCTTCAAAGCTTTTAATCAGTACTTTTATCTGTGTACATTATTTAGGACTGACAGAAAAAGCCAACTCACCCCATTGTCTTGAAAATTACCATTGTCATCCTAGCACCTAAGGACCAGAGCTAAATGATTTTTTAATACCTTGCCCGCCACCTGCATGGCATCCCAATCTCCATTACTAATAATAATTTTAATAACATAGTATGCATTATGCAGATTCCATTTTCCTACAGCAAGAAAGTTCTGTGTTCTGGGGCGCCTGGGTGGCTCCGTAGGTTAAGTGTCAGACTCTTGGTTTCTGCTCAGGTCATGATCTCACGGTCCATGGGTTTGAGCCCCACATCTGGTTCTGCGGCTGACAGCATGGAAACTGCTTTGGGATTTTCAATCTCTCTCTCTCTGTCTCTATCTCTTTCTCTTTCTCTGCTCCTCCCCCACTTGCACTGTCTCCATCTCTGTCAAAATAAATAAATAAACTTAAAAAAAGGAGAAGAAAGTTCTGTGTTCTCATCAAATGTGTTAGCAACCTGTATCGGTTTCCTATTGCTACTATATAACAAATTACCATGAACTAATTGACTTAAAACAACACATGTTTATTATCTTACAACTCTGTAAGTCAAAAATCTGAGATGGATCTCACTGGACTAAAATCAAAGTATCAGCAGGGCTGTATTCTTGCTGAAGACTTGGGAAGGATCTGTTTCCATGGCTCTTCCATTTCCAGAGGCTGCCTGCATTTCATGGCTCATGACTCCCTTCCATGTTCAAAGTCAGAAATGGCTGGTCATTCTTTCTTACATCACACCACTCTGACATTGATTCTTCTTCTGCCTTCCTCTTCCACTTTCAGGATCCTTATGATTCCATTCAGCCCACCTGGATAATCCAGAATAATCTTCTTTCTTGAGGCCAGCTGATTGGCAACCTTAATTCTATCTGCCACCTTAATTCCCCTTTACCACCCAACATATTCACAGACCCCAGGGATTAAGATGTGGACATTTTGGGGAGGACGTTCCTCTGCCTCCCACACAACACAATCCCCATATACAGTTTTGGAGATCTAGTTCTTGAGGCCATGCATAGTGGGGTCACTGCCTCAGTCTGGGTCCTGTCAGAAAAGAAATGACACATTTAGAAGCAGTGATCGGGGGCACCTGGGTGGCTCAGTCAGTTAAACATGCTACTTCAGCTCAGGTCATGATCTCACAGTTCGTGAGTTCGAGCCCTGCATCCGGCTGTGTGCTGACAGCTAGGAGCCTGGAGCCTGCTTCCAATTCTGTCTATCCCTCTCTCTCTGCCACTCTCCCACTCATTCTGTCTCTCTCTCTCAAAAATAAATAAACACTAAAAAATTAAAAAAAAACAAAAGCCAAATTGGAAATATTTAATAAAGAGGCAATTTACAAAGATGTGGGCAGGGTTAAAGGAAATCAACAAGGGATAATAAAGCTCCCTTAGACAATAATAACAGAAAGGGGCAAGCATTGGAGGAAGCAGTTATCAAAACCAGGTAAGGGCAGTGGCCTTTGGTAGACAAGCACAGCCAGTGCCAAATCATGGCCCAGGAGGGAAGGAGCCAGGGGAATAAACACCCTAATCTCTCTTTGCTTTCACCCTTTGATCTCCTCCTAGAACTGCCCATTGGCTAACCCTGCCCAATCCAGAAGACAAGGGAGCAAGGTTGATGTGGCCAATAAAAGTCAGTATCTCAGGACACAAAGCAGATGGAGAAAGGTAAATAAGTTGTCTGTAGCGGCAGACTCTACACACATATTATTTAGTTACATACATAATTCTTACTGAAGGAGAAATGGAATCTTCCACCTAGCAGGGCATTTGTATTTTAAAATAGCCAGTTTAGCCCAAATTAATCTACAGGTGGAATTTATGGGGAACTATTTTTGAGCTGCAAGGCCTAAAGGAAGTTATATGTATGAAATTACACTATAGGATGTATATATTATACAATTAATAAAAATAAAGAGGTACCATATATACATATATACACAGAACTATATGGACCAGGGAGGATCTCACTGGGTCACAGTGAGGACAGCACTGATCCAAAGGGTTTAGCCATGAAAGAATCATAATTTCCTATCATTTCATCAGGATTTTATGAGTAAACATAGTGGTGATCACCATCGCTTCCTGGACAAATTGTTAGTCTGCCAGGGCGTGTAGCTTATACATCACTTTTCATCTTGCCAGTGGTTACCCAGACGCCATTTTTCGAGTAACTACGATGAAGATATAGGTCCAAAGGGTAGGGAAAGCAAAGAAACCATTATTTGTGTGTCAGTCACTCACATGCTATGTTCATGAAAAAATCACAAAGCAAACAAATAAAAGCCACCAGCCTGGCTAAATACAGGTTCAGGGGAAAGAGTTTCCTTCACCATGGAGAAGTTTCTAGTGAAAGAGAGACACAGTTATAGAGGAAAGTGCATTTTAGCAAATGGGGAAAACTTCCAAGGAAAACTCAATGCTGAAGAAATTCTTTTTCCTTCCTCAAAACACAGAGGGCTATAAATTCCTACCTCTGAAATGTCTGGAAGGAAAGGACCTCACAGAGAGCAGTTGCTCTCTTTTTCAAAGTGAAGCTCAGGCAGAACTGCACTTCCAAGGCTCTGCATTACATTTGTCTATAGAATAGTTTCATAGGTAAAGAAATAGTGAGAGCATTGAGACATACAGTCTTATGTATACAGACCTCAACAGAGGTCAAGGTAATCTTCTTCACTTGATTTTTTTTAAAAAGGTTAAAAACAATACATGCCTCTTATTCTGAAATCAGATGCCAATTTTAAGCAGTACAGAATAATATAAAGTGAAAAGCAAAATTTTCCTTTTCTTCTCTCTTTCCTTTCCTCCTTCTTTCCCTTTCTCCCCTCACGTTCGTGTGTGTGTGTCTGTGTGTGTGTGTGTGTGTGTGTCTGTGTCTGTGTGTCTGTGTGCGTGTGTATCCATCTATCTTTCTCCAGCCACTTACACACAGATTTTGAGGGACAGCTAGCAGTCTGTCAAACACACTTTAGCAAAGAAGGAATTTACAGAAGCTTATTGGGTAGCTCACGAGATTATCAGGAGGGCTTGAGAACCAGGCACAGAAAAGCAGGAAAACACCCAAGGTTTCCCAGGCAGCTGTGGGCACATCCAACTTCATGCCCTAGTAATGGCCCATGAAGCTGATGCTACTGCCAGTGCCACGCCTGGATACCTGTTACAAAAATATGTCTGAAAGTGCCCTCACTGGACACTGAACTCCTCTCGTTGCATTTTCTACTCCTCTACTGTTGTACAAATAGTCACTGCTCTTTCTGTATCGTCACATCACAACCTTCCTATCTGCAGTGAGTTGGATTGACGAGACTCCATCTGACTGGCTGAATCACAGTTTCCAGAGCGTAAGGATAGAGGATGTTTGGTTACTAGGGTGGGTGGCAGGATGGTGCCACTGCCAAGAGTCACACGATAGAAATCTCAAATTGGAAGGAAGTTTGGATGCTGAGCAGTTCAAGACAGACAAACACCTGTTACACACACCCTCCTTTTAGCGGACAAGTTGTCAAGACATCCAGCTCACATCTTCCCCAGGTAGCAACCCTAAGAGAGAGAACATCTCTCTTACAATATCCATGGATTAAACTCAGGAAATATTCTGACTCTGTTTGGGTGCTCATTCCTGCACCAGTCACTGAAGTCCTTGGAGTAGAATATTTTGATTGGCTCAGCCTGGACAAGCATGCCCACATTTGTGACTGGGAGTAGCTAGGCACCACAACTGAAAACCATTCATAGCCCAGGGGGTGAGCAGAAGATGGTTGTTGCAAAGAAGATACACTGAAGATAGAAACATAATGTACATTTTAGGAGGTCTCATGGTGATTTGGTCCATAATTTGACTCTCATTTCTTTTTGTTAAAAGCTTTTATTTATTTATTTATTTATTTATTTATTTACTTATTTACTTATTTGGTTACTTACTTACTTACTTATTAGAGAGATGGCAAGAATGAGGAAGAAGGGCAGAAAGAGAGGGCAAGAGAATCTTAAGCAGGATCCACACCCAGCACAGAGCCCAGTGTGGGGCTCAATCTTAGGATAGAGAGATCATGACCTGAGCTGAAAGCAAGAGTCCAACACAAAACCGATTTCACCACCCCAGGCACCTTTCTCATTTCTTTTCTTTTTTTTTTTTAAATTCAGTTATTATACTTTCCTTTCTCAGTCATCTGAATATCATCACAAAATCTCAGATGCTGTCATTAATGGATCTCAGATTTCATTAGGTTGCTCTTTAAAATGATAGATAAGACTTGAGCCATGATAGAACAGCTGGTGTGGAATTAACCCTCCTTCCATAAACAACTAAAACTGTACAAAACGTATAAGACAACTGTTGTCAAGTACTGAGCAACAGTCAGCACAAGTCTATAGTCCTTGAGACCAGGAAAAGCTCACAAGGTGATCCCTATGGTTGGCATCTCTCTCTGCGTGGAGACAACTTCAGAGTTTGGAGATGCTGAACTAGTTAGGATCTTTAAGACAAAGCAAGACACTAAGTATGCAGGAGTTACACAGGAGTTAGGCTCAAAAGTCTTGACCTTGGCTAAGGACTAGGCCTTTCATGTTTTGGGTAAGAGCATGCTAGATTTACCAGAGAGTGGCTTCTATGAAAGTGGGAGAAAGGGATCTTAGAGATAAAGCTGGGAAATGTTAGTGTGCCAGCCCAGCCAGAGAGTAAAGGCCTCGTTAACACCCTGGGTATCCAGCCAACACACCAGAAACACCATGTTTAACAGTAAGGATCATGATGTAGCAAGGCCTACAACAGACTCAGTAACAAGACCTAAAAGCGAGGCTTCTGATTGGTAGAGCCATCAGAGTTTGGAAGCTGACTCTACCCAGATTATAGAGTCTTAGAAAACACCAGCACTTTCCACGTATTTGCCATAACAAAGCATAAAACAAGTCTACATAGATTTAAGGTGCTCAGCAAACAATTGGATTATCTCTTGGAACAAAAATCAACACTCTTCAGAGGAAGATTATAGAAAGTAAAAATTGACTACAAGATGGTCCAAATATTTGATTTGCAAACAAAAACTTAATGCAGCCATCATAAATATTTTTAAAGATTTAAAATACAATATCATCTCAGTGAGCTATCAGATAGGGAATCTCAACAGAGGAGTGAAAACTATTTTTTAAAAAACATAAGGGGCACCTGGGTGGCTCAGTTGGTTAAGTGTCTGATTTCGGCTCAGGTCATGATCTCATGGTTCGTGGATTCAAGCCCCGTGTCGGGCTCTGTGCTGACAGCTAGCTCAGAGCCTGGAGCCTGCTTCAGATTCTGTATCTCCCTCTCTCTCTGAGCCTCCCCTGCTCACACTGCCTCTCTCTCTCTCTCTCTCTCAGAAATAAATAAAACATTTAAAAAATTAAAAAATAAAAAATAAAAAACATAAGAATTCTAGAACTACAATGCACAACAATTTAAATGAAAAGTTGACTGGAAAGGATTCATACCTGAATGGAGATGACAGAAGAAATAAACGGTGAACTTGAAGATCAAGTAATATAAATGATCAATTAATAATATTAACTACAAATATTTCTAAAAATGAAATCTCAGAGGTGTGTAGGATAATAGAAAACAGTCTGAGATATATGTAATTCAAATGCCAGAAAGAAAAGAAAGTGAATAAGGTACATAAAAATATTTTGTAAAGTAATGGTTCACACTTTCCTAGATTTGGTGATTAGCTGACTTACAGATCCCATAGGCATAGTCCATTCCCATCAGGATTCTGATTACTAAGCAGGTAAAGAAAACCACATGTAGACACATGTGATGCGGAAACACATCATAGTCCAACTACTGGGTCTGATCTGTGAAAAGGTGAATCTAATGAATAGTGTCAGATGATAGACCAGTGCTTCTGTGGGTCTGGGAGTGGAGGGAGAAGGATGACTGGAAAGAACCATCAGAGAACTTTTGGAATGATGTTCTATGCATTGACCATGAGGGTGGCTGATGGCTTTAAGTGTTTGTCAAAACTCATCACGCTGTATTCTTAAAGTGTGTACATCTTCTTATATGCAGATTATTTCTAACTGAAGTTGGCTTAAAAAACTAGAGGTAATAATCAAGATAACACTTCAATCTAATTTCTTTTCTGTCTTATTTTCATGCCTTTAGTCTATTTTTAGTCAGAGAATTCTGATTTTTGTTCCTTCCTGCAAAAGAATAAACTGGCCCACAATGAAAATGTTAAACACAAATGACAATGTCATTTGCCTTTCCCTCCGTCTAATAACAGACCTCTGCTCATCAAATTCACTTACACAAAATAACCCCAACTACAGGGGCGCCCGAGGGGCTCAGTCAGTTAATTGTCCTACTCTTGGTTTCTACTCAGGTCATGCTCTCGTGGTTGCTGAGTTTGAGCCCCACATAGGGTTCTGTGCTGACAGTGTGGAGCCTGCTTGGGATTCTCTGTCTATCCGTCTCTCTCTTTCTCTCAAAATAAATAAATACACTTAGGGGCGCATGGGTGGCTTTGTCGGTTAAGCGTCCGACTTTCGCTTAGGTCATGATTTCGCAGTTCGTGGGTTCGAGCCCCGCGTCGGGCTCTGTGCTGACTGCCAGCTCAGAGCCTGGAGCCTGTTTCAGAGTCTGTGACTCCCTCTCTCTCTGACCCTCCCCTGCTCACGCTGTCTCTCTCTCTCTCTCCTAGAAATAAATTTAAAAAATATTTTAAAAAATAAATAAAAATAAAAAAGAAGAAAAAACAAACAAATAAATAAATGCACTTAAAGAAAAAACCGAACTACACACCTTCTGCCACTCAATATTTAATCTCTTTTATAAAAATGTTTTAATATTTATTTATTTTTGAAGGAGAGAGAGACAGAGCATGAGTGGGGGAGGGGCAGAGAGAGCCACCCACAGAAGCTGAAGCAGGCTCCGGGCTCTGAGCTGTCAGCATAGAGCCCAACATGGAGCTAGAACTCATGAGCCGTAAGATCATGACCTGAGCTAAAGTCAGATGCTTAACTGACTGAGCCACCCAGGTGCCCCAATATTTAATCTCTTAATAAAATGGCACTGTTTCTGCGTCTATCCATTGACTATTACATTTTATTGTTACTATATGTTAAAATGCAGATTACATAAACTTCTACTTTTTAAATATTCATACACTATAAATGAATATGAAAGTGCTGTTAAAACCAACATGTTGTGTTTATAATTTGCCATTTAGTTTCTTGCTTAATTATTTAAAAAATTAAAACTTCAATATTTTGGAAGTGATGCAAAATTTCAACTTATGTTTTAAACGTGTGCTGAGAATTTTATCCAATACAGACAGATTTTAGGTTTCTATGGGAATAAAATGCTTTAAATTACTTAACAGATATGATTGTTTGGAATTAGTCCTTCCCTTCCAAAGAAATGCTTTAGTTGTAGATGAAGACAGATTCTGGTTGAGGTTTTGTGATATAAAATTAATGAGTAGCAAAATGCTAGAAAAAGGCAGAAGAGATATAGTCTCAGTGAACAAAACAATAGGAGAAACAAAATCTGTGAAGTTATTTTGGTCAGTTTTACTACATACACTTAAAAAATATTTTTTAACTTTATTTATTTATTTTGAGAGAAAGAGAAAGAGAGAGAGAGAGAGACAGCATGAGTGGGGTAGGGGCAGAGAGAGGGAGAGACAGAATCCCAAGCAGGCTCCACACTGTCAGTGCAGAGCCTGATGTGGGGCTCAAACTCATGAACCATGAAATCAGGACGTGAGCTGAAATCAAGGGTCAGAAATATCTGACTAAGCCCCCCAGGTGCCTCAGTAAAATATATATATATATATATATATATATATATATATTAAAAGATGAATGTATAGGGATAAAACAAGATGATATAAACAGAGAAGATTGGGGGCACCTGGGTGGTTCAGTTGGTTGAGCGTCCATCTTTGGCTCAGGTCATGATCTCACCGTCTGTGAGTTCGAGCATTGGGCTCTGTGTTGACAGCTCAGAGCCTGGAGCTTGTTTCAGATTCTATGTCTCCCTCTCTCTCTGCCTCTTCCCCCACTCATGCTCTGTGTCTCTTGCTCTCAAAAATAAATTAAGAAAGAAAACGTAAACAGAGAAGAATAGTATATTTGATAAAGTATCACTGAGGAAAAGAGCTTTTAGATTAATGAATACACAGCGGGACAATGAAGAGAAACTCAAACCACAAGCTTACCATAGACCAGAGGGTCTTTTTCAGTCTAGAATTTGGAACTGGCACAAAGACTTTCAATCCTGGTTCCATTGCTTAATACCTATTTGATCCCCCTAAGGCTCAGTTTTATGTTTGAAAAACAGCTCTAATGATGGTCCTTGCCTTCGAGGATCATTGTGAAAATTAAATGAGATAATATACGCAAATTTCCTAACATGGGACATGCCACATAGGCACATCCCTCAACAGCAGACTAAAAGAGAATGACCAGTATTTGTCTCATAGATTAAATCTTGGTAGCGGGTGTGGTAAAGGATTCTCTTTCTGGCTCTTACAAACCTGCAAAAACCAAGTTTATGGAAAGGACATCTGTCGTTGTGCTAGTCATGCTTCAAGTGGCCCAAGCGCCCCAGAGGGCAGCTTATACTCTAGATGTCTGAAAAGCCTGAAGAGAGAACTAAATAAGAAATAGGTTTGAGACCTGGATGATGTCCAGGTCAGTGGCTATAGGATATTCTTCTAATTGTTTTGTCACTACAAATTGAATGCCCACAATATGCCAATGTTTGCGCACTTTGATTTAGGACATGAAATAAGAATTTGATTATGGCAGGTGGTTCAAAATGGCGACCTCTTAAGAGTCAAAACTTGTGTCTCCTTAAGAAATGTGCCAGTTTCTTATTCATTCTGGAATATTGCTGGAGGGGGTTGGGGAAGGTGAGATAGAGGGACAGACTGAGAGGAAGAAGCAGACATAGGAGCTACATAACCTGCCCCACTGAAGGGACAAAAAAACCTAAAGGGGTTAAAATCTACATGATATAATATTCCTATGGCAACCACTATTGCCTTAGACAATACAAGATTTAAGGGTTTCAGTTTTTACCAAAATAATGATTGTGTGTGGTAAAAATCAAATAACAAAGAATTCACAAAACTTGATATTTCTCCAGCCACCTCTTGATATATTGCCATCTCTTTGCCTTGTTTCTCTTTTTAATTCTTTATCTAGTGATTTCCACAAGTGTAGTTACTATAATTATAACTCTGTATTCTTATTATTATTTATACTTATGATCAATTAATGCATAAGAAATGAAAATTTACCTCCCATTAACCTCTCCTTTTCCATCCTCTTTCCAATATTTAGTATTCATATTATTTTTAATTCTTCCATTAGTCACTTGTGCAATATGAATTAATCATTTGTTTCCATTGATTTTCTACTGAGTCATTCCAATTGGGAAAATGGCCTTACCCTTCCTTTCCATATTGTCCCCACCCCCACTGCCATCTATCAGCTCTGTTATTATTTTACATTGTCATATATTTATTCATACTTACATTTTGTCCTAAAATTTCACCAAAATTCCTGCTTTGTTTGTGGATTGACTCTGAATTTAAAAATGAATAAACAGTATTTGCATTAGTATAACAATGGAAAGATTGTCTACTGCTTGGCAAAGCAGTTATATGAGGGTTAGTTTTCACTTTCTATAGGTTTCATAGTGCCAGGTTTGAGCCACTTCAAAGAAGCTCTTTCTTTCTTTTTTTTTAATGTTTTTTTTTATTTATTTCTAGGGGAGAGAGAGAGAGAGACAGCGTGAGCAGGGGAGGGTCAGAGAGAGAGGGAGATACAGACTGAAACAGGCTCCAGGCTCTGAGCTGGCTGTCAGCACAGAGCCCGACGCGGGGCTCGAACCCACAAACCGCGAGATCATGACCTAAGTGAAAGTCGGACGCTTAACCGACTAAGCCATCCGGGGGGGGCCCCTAAAGAAGCTCTTTCTAGCATCAAAGCCAAAGAGATTTCCCTTTTTCCATTATGTCATTTGCCTAAATTGACGCCACATTTTGGATTCCATCTTATTGCACAACACTTTTCTTATAGTCTTTTGCTTTTCTTAGAGTTGTTTTTGCCCTCTCTTATTTGATAAGAGGTTGGCATTTCAGCCTTTTATTAATATTCTCAATTAATGTCATTTTTAATCACATATTTTATTCCACAAGATTTCCCTCCTGGTCCCATCTGGCCTCTTGCTCCAGTGAGGACTGGGGTCCTTGCTGCTACAAACATCACCCTGAAAATCCCCATCATTGTTTTAACTTGTTTGGATAGACTGTTTCTTGAATCCTATGTCTTCCATCTTCTTTTTTTTTTTTTTCCTTTTTAAGTTTTATTTATTTGAGGGACAGAGTGAGTGTGCGTGGGAGGCAGAGAAAGAGACAGAGAGAAGGAGAGAGAGAATCCCAAGCAGGCTCCACACTGTGAGCACAGAGCTGGATGCGGGGCTCAAACTCACAAACTGTGAGATCATGGCCTGAGCTGAAACCAGGGGTCGAAGGCTCAACTGACTGAGGCGCCCTTCCTTTTATTTTTATCCCAATTACCTGGAGCACATCCTTTAGTAACTAAGACAAATTGTTTGCAAATTACATTTCCTGAGTGCTTTCATGCTGAAATCTTGTTTCATTATTGGCCAGAGTTTGGGGATATAAATAATTTTCTTTAACATCTTTAAAGCACTATATCTTTTGTTTTCTAACCTCCAGACTTACTCTGTAGAAGTCTTATGGCGTTCGGATTCCTGTTCCCTTGCACGTGAACTGTTGTATCTCTCTGAAAGCTTTGGGGGAATATTCTCTTTTGAGTGTTCGGTGATTTTATGAAGATGTATCCAGGTGGAGGTCATTTTGTAATCCATTGTGGGGAAGGCTCTACCTCGTTTTCAGTTCTAGGAATTTCTCTTTGTAATATAATTTCCTTTCTTATCTCCCTCCTTTTTTTCTGAAGCTTTAATTAATAAAATAATGGCTTTCCTGTATTACTATTTGAATGCCTCCTTTTAAAATTTTACATATTTTATATTTTCAATCTCTTTGACCTGTTCTGCCTTTCAGGAGGTGTTCTCAACTTTAATTTTCAATCTTTCCATTGAATGTCTAGTTTCAGTCATCATTCAGCCACCGGGAGCTCTTTATTCTTCTCCGATTGTTCCATTTTGGAGCCCACGGATGGCAGCTATGGAGGTACACCCATCAGATCTCCCTCCGGGTAGAACCTGCTCGAAGTGTTAAGGTTGACTGAGCGCCTACAGGTGCAGTACCTCTGGGATCCACTGCACCATCCACCGGAGCCTTCACTCACTGGAAGCTCCCAGGCGATGACTGAGCTTGGTGGGGACCCCAGAGCATTTCTGCCAGTAACCCAGGGGGCTGGCTGAGACGTTCTCAGATGGCCCTGTAGTCTGAAGCCCTTCTCCTCTCCTTTGAAAGCTGTTAGACCTGCATCACAGACTAAAGGCTCCTCTTCCTGTCCCCTCTCCCCTTTATCTTTCATGGGCAGTAACCCCCAATACATCTCTCCTACTTGTTACTTTATCTTGGCTTTTGCTTCCCAGAAGACTAGAACTGACAGAGCATCCCATCCTTTCTTTACGAATCTACAATCTTCTCTCACCTCTTTTAACATCTTTTGCTTGTTCTTTCAACACCCAACACATGTAACAGGATACATTTTGCCTGATATAGTGACCTGGTAAGGTCAAATCACATTGCAGTAAAACTGAAATGAATTAGGGGAAAAAATGGCATCAACACATCAAAAAAAGGAATGAGGGAAGCTAGATGCAGCTACCCCGCCCCCCATGTTTTCAGAGGAGGCAAAATTTTTAATAATTCTAATAGTTGAAATAACATAGCAATAGTATATGAAAGTATGGTCCTGTTCCATCTGCTCCTACACAAAAATTTCAGACTTTGTGGCAAGATGTGCTCCTACCTCATTCAAATAATCAATGTCAGGGGTCATGCAGGGCCTTGAACTTCTAGTTATCTTCAGACTCGTCCAGACTTGTCTTGCTACTACATTTTTGGATGTTGAAGGCCGAGGCCATCTCTTCTCTTCAGTGCTCTTACTGTTGTAAAAGCAGGTGCTGATTACTGTATGCTCATTGTACCAGCTGAGCTGGTAAACACTTTGTATGCATTGTTTTATTTAATCCATGCAAACAATCCAGTTTTACAGATGGAAACACTGAATGTCCACGAGGCTGTGAAAGTGACCCGTGTCCCCCAGCTTAGGAGGTTAGGAGGAGACACACATCCGCCTGCCCCAGAATTGACGTTCTCAGTCACACCCATAAACTGCCTCTACCTATGCATGACACATACAGGAGCCATAGTAGCTTAAGCTACATATAAAATAGGTTATATAAACCTCATTTTAAAAATGTTTTTTGAAGTTTTATTTATTTTTGAGAGAGAGAGAGACAGAGTGTGAGCGGGTAGGGGTAGAGAGAGACACACACAGAATCTGAAGCAGGTTCCAGGCTCTGAGCTGTCAGCACAGACCCCGATGCAGGGCTCAAACATAGAGACCGCCAGGTCGTGACCTGAGCTGAAGTCGGTCGCTTAACCAATTGAGCCACCAAGGCGCCCCAAAAACCTCATTTAATGTCATGTGATACGTATTCTATACTTGTGATGGGAAATGAATGTGCAGAGCCAAGGAAGTTGTATACAGTTTGAAACACACTGTTTGTCAATATCTAATCTTATGTCATTTGAAATTCCCTGACCCTTTGGAGCGCTAATAAAAAGTAGCTTTTTAATCTTTGAAATACAAATGCTGGTCAGGAGACAGAACCTTTTTTTACTTTTCCCTCTTCTGTTGTTTAGGGCCTCTGTGGGAGGGATGGTAATGTTAACATATGCATGCTTGCTCTCTTAGAGAAAATCATCTCTTTATTTACCTGAGCTTCTCCTCATGCCCCTGGAGAAGTAATTAAACCAAATCATTGACCTCTTCTGGAGTAGCTTATGAGCCATTTTTTGTTAAGTGAAAGAAAGTGTTTGGAAAAAGAAACTGCCATTGGTCCAGAATCAGAAGAAGTAAGTTTATACAGAAAATATGCACAGGAGATTTGGTGGCATCTTTTGTGGTCTCTTTTTTCCCTAATATTCAGAAACATGAACTTTTATAACAACAAATGCCGTCCCTTTTGTTCTTGGAATCCCTTTGTGCATTGCACGTAGCTCACGAGGGATTGCACATCGTGAAAATTACAACTTTGCATGTTTATTATAGGTTTATTCTAAGGTTAGGATTTGCCCAAGATTTGAATATGTGACTCCCCTCCCTCTCCTGAGAAGAGTATAGGTGTTTGGAGGCAAAATTCCATTTGCTTTTCCTCCTCATCTTTTCTAGTCACCAGTCCATATGGCCATAACCTGTGTATTCACTTCCCTTAACTCATCCCTTCAGGAATTACCAGAGATTAGTAACCATAATCCCAGAGTATAAGGTGGCAATCCCAATCGTTAGAACTGAGCTGTGACATGGACAAGGGACTTGCATAAGAAAGATGTTTGGAAATTAAGGCTGGCTAGTTCCTAGGTACTGTTTCAGTTGATGGCCAATCTAAGAGTCTATGGAAAGCATGATGAGCTGATGCTCTTCTGACTCCAGTTGCTAATGCTTAGCTTGTCTGTTTGAAAGTGTCATGTCCCCTGACCCAGAGCCCATTGAGGTACTTGCTTTTCTCAACCCTGACTTAATGCAAGCAAGACTTTAAAGTTTTAAAACATTTTGTAGAGTGCCTGGGTGGCTCAGTGGGTTAAGCGTCTGACTTCGGCTCAGGTCACGATCTCCTGGTTCATGGGTTCAAGCCCCACTTCAAGCTCTGTGCTGACAGCTCAGAGCCTGGAGCCTGCTTCTGATTCTGTGTCTCCCTCTCTGTCTCCCCCTCCCCCACTCTGTTTCTGTCTCTCTCTCAAAAATAAATAATACATTTTAAAACATTTTTTAAACTTTTTTTTGAAAGATGGAATTGATCTGAAGGATGAGGAGACAGTTGCTTAATGATCTGAAGTTCGTTCATTCTACAAATATTTATCAAGTAGTTACTGCTTTAAATGTCTGTACTGGATGCCAGTGATATGATGGAATAAGACAGACATCACTAATAAGGTCACTACCATCATGGAGTAATGGCAGACAGATCATCATTTAAATACACATGAATTAGGATTATTGTAGATCATACAAAGGCAAGATCTAGAGAGCTATGAGGAGATCTACAGGATGAGCAAGAGAGGGAAGCAATATCACTTAGGCGAGACAAGGAAATCTTCTTTGAGAAGTTGGCACTTAGGCTGACGTGAGCTGGAGTTAGCCAGGGGAAGAGTGTGGGACAAGCAGTCCAGCCTGAGTGAAAGCGCAGAGGTGAGAAGGAACCAGAAAGTCGGTGTGAGTTCAGGGCAGAGTCTGAAGTTCTTCTGGGGTCCCAGAATCTCTGAAGAGTAGAGACTTCTATGACCACAGAGAGCTCAACCTGTTACGGAACACCTGCATTTCACACAATCCTGGACATGCAGTAAATGAGCAGCCGTTTGTCAAAGTGCCATAAGCATAGACAGCTCAGCACAGTGGAGAAACATGAGTTCCCTCCTACAGACACACCTGCATTCCTACCAAATGAGGTCCATACAAGAGTATTCATGGCAACATTGTCCTAGCAAAACACTAAAAGCAACCCAGTGTCTCTCAGTAAGAGACTGGTCAAGATAGCACCATACAATGGAATAATAATGCCTCTGAAAAAAGAATGATAAGTTTCTGTCTTTCTCAAATGAAAACATCTCCAAACATATAATATTAAGTGAAAAAGTAAGATCCAGAAAAATGTGTGCCCAGTGCTACCACTTATAATTAAAAAGGAGAAAAAGGTAAAGAATAGTCAAGAGAATGGGAAGACATACCACAGACAGGGAGAAAATATTTGCAAAAGATATATTTGATAGAGGACTGTTATCCAATATATATATAGAACTTTAAAAACTCAACAATAAGAAAATGAGCAATCCAATTAAAAAATGGGCAAAAGATCTGAACAAACATATCACTGATACAGATATGTTAAGTGCCAAGGAAGCATATGAAAAGATTTTCAATATCATACGTCATTAGGGAATTGCAAATTTAAACAATAATTAACAGGGTCATATAACAAATTAGAATGCTTAAAATACAAGAAGTAGATTTCCACAAAAAAATTGCAACAAGAGTTTGTCGTAAGCATCATATATTTTAGATGAGGTATGCTGTGAATGTATTTCCAGTAAGAATCCTGTCCCTTTGCTGTTTTCCTTTGGCATCTGACTACTTAAAAAATAAATAAGTAAATTAAACAATAGCCAGATACCACTACCCATCTGTTAGAGTGGCCAAAATCCAAATCTTTGACAATACCTGATGCTGATAAGATGTAGAGCAACCGAACTGTCATTCATTGTTGGTCAGAATGGAAAATGGAACAGCTACTTTGGAAGAAATTTTGTCAATTTCTTATAAAACGAAATACATTCTTACCATATATGTCATCCAGCAATTTCCTTCCTTGGCATTTACTCAAATGAGCTGAAAACTTACATCCACACAAAAACCTGCACACAATGCTTATAACAACTTCATTCTTAATTGCCCAAACCTGGAGGTAACCAAGGTATGAATGGCTAAATAAACTGTGGTCTATCTAGACAATAGAATATGATTCAGCACTTAAAATAAATGAGCTGTCAAGCCATGAAAAGACATGGAAGAAACTTGAATGCATATTACTAAGTGAAAGAAGCCAATCTCAAAAGGCTGCATCCTGTATGATCCTAACTATATAATATCCTAGAAAAGGGGAATCTATGGAAACAGTAAGAATATCAGGGGTTGGGGGAAGGGAGAAATGACTAGGCAGAGCACAGGGAATTTGGGGGGCAGTGAAACTATTATGTGTGGTATTATTGTAATGGTCACCATGTCATTATAAATTCATCCAAACCCATAGAACATTCAACACCAAGAGTGAACCCTAATATCAACTATGGCTGGTAACTTTGATTATCAACTTTGGTTGATAATGATGTGTCAATGTTGGTCCATCAGTTGTAACAAATGTACCACAGCGGTGGGGGGTGTTGACAATGGAAGAGGCTGTGCATATGGGGAACAGGCAGTGTATGGGAACTCTCTGTACTCTCTAAAGTCTATTTTTGGGACACCCAAGTGGCTCGGTGGGTTAAGCACCCGACTCTTGAAGGGTACTCCAGAATCACACAACCCATGCTTTGTGACATTGAGTCCCACACCGGGCTCCACACTGTCAGCGCAGAACCTGCTTGGGATTCTCTCTCTCTCTCTGTCTCTCTGTCTCTCTCTGTCTCTCTCTCAAAATAAATAAAATAAAGTTAAATAAATAAATCTCAAAGAAATAAAAGAAAATAAAGTTTATTTTTTAAAAAAGCAAAGCAAAAATAAAGAATATATTTGATTTGGTTGTATGTGCATAAGAAATTCTTGAAGGGTATACTACTCCAAAAAGCTTATACTGTTTCCAAAACTCAGTGCCTGTGTTTCCTCATGTGCAAAGTGGGGTTAATAATAGTTCCTACCTCACAGGAGTATTTTGAGAATTAAGTGAAGATATTACATGTGAAGCCATTAAATCAGTGTTTACCACATAGTAAGTGTTCAATAAATGGTGATAATCAATATGAGGCTGCTGTCTAGAAATATATAATTTTTCAAATGGGCATGTGTGGCTTTCTCTGGTGATTGGAATTATTGGTAGGATTGTGGATGATTTGTATTTTCTTTGCTGTGCTTAACAATGTTTCGCAAATATTCTATGAAAACTTTGCAGGTGTATTGAGAAAATCAGCAAGGTTTTTTGGTAAGTGGCAAGAACACTTAACATGAGATCTACCCTTTTAACAAAATCTTAAAGGCACAGTACAGTATTGTTAACTATAGGCATCATGATGTACAATGGATCCCTTAATAATCTTACATGGCTGAAACTTTATATGCATTGAGTAGCAATTACCCTTTCTTACTTCTCCCCCACCAACTT